TCGCTCCCCCAAGCCCCCCCTCCCCCCAAGCCCTGCCCAGGCCCGGAGGAGGAGCTGGGATGGGCGGAGGGAGTGGAACCGACTCCAGAAAAGAGGAACTGGGCTTGGGGACAATGCCCCTTACACGGGAAGGAGATTCGGCCTGGGGAGGAAGGAGAAGAGCCTGAATTTTGCACTGGGGGGGGGGGGGGGGGGGAGAGGTTCAGTGTTTGAAAAGGGTACATAAAAGCACCTCAGAACTGCAACTAATGACAAACGAGTGCATTAAAATTGCCAGAAAAGAAAAAACAATAATTTTAGAACCATCATTTCTGAATTGCAAAACAGCATTTTCTCTTTTTCAAACAGCGCTCAGATTCTCTTCTGGAACATTGTTTTCAGTCCTGATTCTATACTTTAAGATCTGGAAACCCAGAGACGCTGCGTGGAAAAAGCTGGAAATAACGGGCTGCACGAGTTCGAGAAGCAGCAGCCGACCGGCTCTGTGTGTGCGGGAAGGGAAAGGCGCCCACCGCACCCAGTGTCTCCTGAGGTGCAGGCTGGGGGAGGGGCTGCCCCCCCATGCCGAGCAGCCGTCTGCCGGGCTGGTGTCTGCGGAGAGAAGGCAGCCTTTGCTCGGGGGCCTCCCTCCCCCCCTCCCCCCCTCCCTGCATGCAGCAGCAGCAGCAGCAAAAGCGGTGGGGGGGGGCTGAGTGGGGGCTCCCAAAATATCCCTGAATGCAAACGGTGAAGCGGGACAGGGAGGACTCTGTTTGGGCTCTTCACCCACAGGGCTGACTGCTTTTCCTTTACCCCCCCCCCCCCGCCCCCATACACACCCACCCACCCGCTCCAGGTACAACCACAACCAGGAAATCAACTCCCCTCCCCGCCCCCAGTTTGGCCCAGGGCCTCCTCCCAGCCCAGCCCTAAGACACCACTGGGGCTGCGCTCATCAGGCCAGGCAGGAAAGGGAGACCCCTCCCCCCTAAGGTTGGAGAGCAAAGAGGCCCTTGCAAGGAGGTGCTGGAGGGGGGCCTGGGTGTGTTCAGACCCCCACCCACCCACCCCCGCTCAAGCTGCAGGGGGTTGCCTGTCCACCCCCCCGCCTACCCCCCCCCCCCCCCCCCCAGCAGCCCTGAGAGGCCCTCAAGGAGCAGCAGGGGCGGAGGGAGAGCTGCTCAGGGAGGAAGGGCGGTTGGCAGGGCTCAGCTGACCCCAGGAAGGTCTCCCCCCAGTAGGGTGGAAGGCAGCTCCTGTGGGGCTCTGTTGCCTCAGAGCCTGGCCAGCTTGGTCCCAGCTTAAGGAAGGAGGGCCTAGCCAGGAGGGTCAGTCCACCCACAGGCCCGCTCTTCCCATCGAGGGGCTTCCCAGCCCCCCGGCTGCCCCATTCCTGGGCTAAGCCGGGGAGACGCCCTTGGGGGATGCAGGGGATGGAGCAGCCGGGCCTCCCCGTCACCCAGCACCCCTCCCATTCTGGCCTGCCACAGCTGGGGCAGTGTCGCCCCGGGGCCCAGCTCCAGCCTTCAAAGCCTTTCCCTGCAGCCAAAGGCAGGCCACTGCCGTCACGGAATTGTTTCCACTTGTTCCCCCAAACGGCCTTTCCCCTTATGAAAGGAGCACTGTACCCACGGAGGAGGATGGCTCAGGTGAGCCAGCAGATGGGGAAAGGGGAGGCTCGCCCCACGATTGCCCCAGCCACTAAGTGTGCCCCAGGCAGGGTGGGCCCCCAGTGCTTCCTGGGTCAACCTGACGCCCCCGCCCCAAGGGGTAGAGATCGGCAGGCCAAACTGGAGCCCCCATGCCCCGCTTCCTTTCAGCCCGGCCCCCCTCAGCAAGCAGCTTCCTCTGCCGGAGAGCCGGGGGGGGGGGTGAGGAGCTGCGCTGAACAGACGGAGGGCTGTGCTGCCCCTGAATGGAGACCTTCTTCATGCCCCGTGGCTGCCCAGGGCCACCCCGGTCCCTGCCAAGCGGGGCAGCAGATGGCCAGCAGCCAGAGGAGGGATGGCCTTCATCTTGGCAGCTGCTGCCGCTGCCATCGCCCCACCGCGGGCCTAGAAGGCCGCCCGGCTGCTCACAAGGCGGCCTTGTTCCTCTCCCGGCTGGGCGTTTCTGCTGCCAGGAGGCCCAGCGAGGCCAGGGCTCAGTGGAGCAGAGAGGTACCTTTCCCCTGGCTCTGCTTCGGCACGCTGGAGAGGCTGACGGACGCCACTCCCAGCAGCTCATTGCGCAGGGTGTGGCAGCTCCAGAGCTTCAGATCCAGGCGGCTTTGAGAAGTGACGTTCCTGGGAGAGAGGAGGACGGGGTGTGGAGCCCTGGGACTAGCTGACCCGCCAACCATTCCGAAAGAGGGGGGAACCAGGCAGACCCGAGAGCAGCAGGCGGGAGCACCCAGCCTTCCGCCCTGAAGAGCAGGCCAACCCGGAGGCAGCTGCGGCAGAGCAATCTGCACCCAGTCCTCCCGCAGATCTGCCTGCCACAGCCCCCAGCCCTCGGCTTCCATGGAGCAGGATGTACGGCCGAGGGAACAAGGCTGTCCCCTCCCCCAACTGCTCAGGGCCCCGGTCCTTACAGCACCAGGCTCTCATTCCAGAGCAGCTCGGAGCTCCCGGTCTGCCTGCCCGTTTTCTTGGCCTCGCTGGCGAGTCCGTCTGCTACGACCTCCACGAAGGAGGTGATGCGAGGTTGGCGGCCCTGGGCCTTGGGCTTGGCTGAAACAACTGTGGGAGGAAGAAGGGACAGGCTGACGCTCACCCTCATCCCGGCCTCTGCTCCCAGCCGTCCACCAGGCCACTCTGCACACAGCAGCACCCGCCCTTTATCTGCCTGGCAGGGTCCGGGGCCAAAAGGGCACCACCGGCTTCCCTTTCAATTGACTGAAAGCATTTAGCCAAAGCCTCCCAGGTGCAAAGCAACCGTTGCCTCCATGGGCCACAACGCCCAACTGAGGGAGCTCAGCACCCCCCAGGCCCGTCTCAGGTGGAGCCAGGGGGGGCGCCAGGGCAGCGCCAGGGCCGGCCAGAAGCGGCTGGGCTTTGGGAGCCCCCTACTGGCCCTCAGGAGACATGGCAGGCAGCTGGCGGGCCTGAAGGGGCCACCTAGGCAGGCCCTTCCTTCCACGGGCTGGGAGGGGCGAGGGGGCCGGTTGGGTCTCCCCCAACTATGCTGCATCTGCACCAGGCTGAGCTCCTGGTTCCAAAGGCCACGGAGTGACGGAGGTTTTCAAGGTCACTAAACGGGAAGAATAAACGCCAGGCAGGGAGCTTTCAAGAAATGGGGAGCCTGTGAGGGAAGGGACAGAGCCCAGGAAGGCCTAAGCTGGGCCACCCGAGGCGCAGGGGACGCTCCGAGGAAACGTCTCCCGGCAACAGAAGCCGGGACAGCGGCGGGACCGTCCAGGAGGGCCCCCCACCACCAACCCCCGCTCTTAGCAGGGCTGCCAGGGCAGAGGCAGAGCTCCGGTCGGCCCGCTGAGGGGATGCCGCCAGGCGAAAACCCGGCAGCATTTCCCCTTTACGGCGGGAGGAGGAGGAGGAGGAAGGCGGCCCCGATGACACCCGGGCAGGCAAACGCGGTTGCTGGCGACGGAGCTGGGCCGGGCAGGAGGGCAGCCTTACGGCGGAGCGGGACCCACCTTTCACGGTGAGCGGAGATTTCTCCCCAGCAAGCCCCTCCGAGGCCATCGCATCATCAGCCCTGCAAGGCGACAGCGCGGCGCTTCAGCTCCCGGCCGGCCGGCCGCAGAGCCTCCCCCACCGCAAAGAGGCCGGCCGGGCGCCCGAGCTTCACCCCGCTGAGGGGCTCCCCTGAGCTCGGCGGCCCCCGCGGGATGAGCCCGGAGCTGGGATCCGCCGCAACGCGGGGAAAAGGGCGGCCCAGAGGCGGCGGCGGCGGCGGCGGCGGTGGCCCCGGGCGCTCCGCTTGGCTCGGTTTGCGGCTCGGCCGCGCGGGGCTCCGGGGGGCGGCGGCAGCGGAGCGAAACAGGCCCCGCCTGGCTCTGCCGGGGCGAAGTCCGTCGGGGAGCGGGGCGAAGTCCGTCGGGGAGCGGGCCGAGGGGCAAGGCTCGCCTCCCGGCCACGGCCGCCCTCAACCCACCTGCGGAGCGACGCGGCCGCTGCGACCTCCGGGCCCCGCGGGGCTTCTGGCTGCGGCTGCCGGCGCGGCTCCCGAGCGCTTCCGCCTCTGGAGCCTGTCACGTGACGGCGGGTCACCCGGGCACGGACGGACCAGCGAGCGGAGCGCGACGGGTAGAGCGGACGCATGAATGGCGGGGGGGGGCCACCCGGAAACCGCGGCACTTCTTCCGGCGTCGGTGCAGGGTCTGGCGCGTCCCTGCTCTCTGGCCGGGCCTAGGATGGCGCCCGTGGAGCATCTCGTGGCCGACGCCAGCGCCTTCCTGCGGGGGGCGCCGCTCCAGGTACCGCGGGGGGTGGGTGGACGGCGGCGGAGGGAGCGGGTGGAGGAGGGGGCGAGCCGGGCTAACCGCTGTCCCCGCAGGAGATCGGCAGGCGCGTCTACACCACCCGGGAGGTGTTGGCTGAGATCCGGGACCGGGCGGCGCGGCGGCGGCTGGCGGGGCTGCCCTTCGAGCTGCTCCTCCGGCAGCCCTTCCCCGAGCACGTGCGGCTAGGTGAGTGACCGCCCGTTCCTCGCCCCCCCCCCCCCACCTCCACCCCTCGAAACCACCACCCCTCGAAAAGCCCCCCCGCCCTCGCCTCCCCGGGTCTTGCCCCCCCCACCCCCGCCCCAGGCAAGCGCGGCCTCTCTCTCATGCCCGCAGTGAGCGAGTTTTCCAAGCAGACGGGCGACTTCCGCAGCCTCTCCGCCGCCGACATCCAGGTCCTGGCCCTGACGCTGCAGCTGGAGGCCGAGCACGGCGGGGGGCGCCCCCTGCGGACGGAGCCACGGCCTCAGGTACCTCTGGCGCCCACTTTTGTGCCGCGCAGCTGCCGGCGTGGAGGGGGCTCAGTGGGGAAGGGGGCCCTGGCGCTGCTGCCCTCCGCTCAAGACAGCGCCGTCTTTTTCTGCAGGTGCAGCTCAGCTTAACACACCGTCACCCCGAAGCACCGGTTGACGTTCCTGGCTTCCATGTCCCCCCCCAGGTAATTGTGGGGTCAGCCGCTCCGGTGGGGCAGCTTCCCGCCTGCTCCTGGCCCTGGAAGGAGCAGCGCTGGCTGGCCCTGGTGCTGAAGCCCCAACTGGGAGCCTCAGCAGAAGCTCCTTCCTCCCACTAAGCCTTCCCCAAGGCAAGAGGCTGGAAGAGGCAGGGAAAGGGCTGCTGCTTTGCCGGTTCCTGGGCGCAGCCGCTGCCTTGACCGACAGGTGCCCCGGGGAGGCTGAGATTCATTTGGTTTTTCACTTTCAACCCTGAGACAAAATGCCCAGGGAATGAGAAGATCCCTTTGGTAGCAGAAAGAGATCCGGGAGATCCTGTGGCACTTGCAGAGACTGAGTTTTCTTCTTTCCTGTTCTGGAGGAGCCCTCTGCCTGACATAGAGGAGGACCTGGAAGGCCTGTTGGTAGGCGATCCACTGCCTCCCTTCCCTCACATCTGGGGCGGCTGCATGACTGGCACGGTAGGCTGGACAGGTACCGAGTGCCAGTGGTCCTGCCCAATTATTCCATCCTGCACAGAAAGCAGACCCTCGTCTGTTGGAGGCGGAGGACCCTGAAGGCCAGGAGAGCGGCGAGGAGGACGGCTGGATCACACCGAGGAACATTGAGCGGATGCAGCAGAGCCCTTGCTGGGGGAGTGAGCCTGCCCAGGTGCAGGTTGGCTGCATCACCACTGACTTTGCTATGCAGGCAAGCAGGCGAGACCAGGCAGCCCGCTGTTCACCCCGGTTGGGCCTGGCCATGCTCTGAGCCCGCCTGACTTGCCTTTTCCCTGTCTCTCCCAGAATGTCCTGCTGCAGATGGGGCTGCATGTGCTGGCATTCAACGGCCTGCTGATCCAACATGCCCGCAGCTACATCCTGCGTTGCCACGGTTGCTTCAGGTACGTGGTTTGCAAGCGCACAGGCTGCCTGCTGGCTGGGAAGCCACGGGGCATTCATGGGGCTGATGTGCTGCTCTCTAGGACAACGTCAAAGATGACCCGGCTTTTCTGTCCCCACTGTGGGAACAAGACGCTGAAGAAAGTGGCCGTGACAGTGAAAGATGATGGCAGCTTTCACCTACATTTTTCCCAGAACCCCAAAGTCCTGAACCCACGTGGCCTCCGGGTGAGTCTGCCCCATCCGGGTGGTCTGCTTCTGCCTGCCCTTCACCCTCTAGCTCAAGGGCCGCCAATGCTCCAGCCCGCCTCTCCACACACACACACACATACACCCCGCATGAGAAGGGCTGGGCTGGGAGCAGCCAAGCTACCTTAGGCAGCCACTCCCTGCTTCACCTGCCCCAGGCCAGAGAACCAGTTGGGCGGGTCAAGGCTTCTCAGGGCCCCTGCAGTCCAAGGAAGGCCACGGCCTCCGGGGTGAACGGCCTGCCGGGCTTGTCTCCACAGCATTCCCTGCCAGCCCCGCAAGGAGGCAAGCACGCCAGTAACCCCCACCTGACAGAGGACCAGCGCTTCCCGCAGCAGCGGCTCTCCCGCAAGGCCAGGCAGAAGACCAACGCCTTTGACCCCGACTATGTGGCTGGAGTTTCTCCTTTTGCTGAACACGACATTCACAGCCGGGCAGCCAATCTGCAGATCCGGGATGCGGCGCTGGGTGCAGGCAGGAGGCGCCTGAACCCGAACATGAGTCGCAAGAAGTGCCTGAAAAACAAGTGAGGAAGAGAGGCCGGATTCAGCCCTTTGGCCATGGGGGAAAGGGCTGTTGTGACGCAATCCAGAAAGGGCTGCAGGGAGAAAGTTGACTTGGACTCTCAAGAAGCAGAGAAGCAGTATTTGCAATAAACCCTGGCTTTTTTTTCAACTCTGGCTGTTTTTTAGATGTGGAGAAAATAAATTTGGCTTTTTTCAAGTGATGCTTGGTGTAGCAGGTGGAAACTTCCCTCCGGAGACGCTTCTCTAGTTTTCCCTGTGGTTAGCCCAAACAACAGAGAGGTCCTTCCTTTTCCTTCCTTGTTTTCATCAGCAACCCAGAATGGAGTTGGATGGCTGGAGATGGGCCAGTTTTGTGTTACTTTTCTCCCAAGATGCTCCAGCTGTTTAAGACTAAAGTGTAATTCATCTGTCAAACGTGCATCTTGGCTTTCCTAACATTAGCAGATGCCAGCAACCTCCCTTTGGGATTTTGGCTTTAAACATGCATAATGATGAAACCATCCTTCTGGGAGGCTCAGCAAATTTGTTTGTCCTACATTCTTTGATTTTATCCCTTGAGAGATCCCTTGCAGACTGAAGAAAGGAATTAAAACTTCTTCCAGCAGAGTTTCCTGTGAAAAAGAATCTTTTGCAAGATTGCTGTATTTCAGCAGCCACGGGTGATTAAATGCACAGAACCTGGAAGAGACAGTTTGCTTTTCAGAAAGTGCTAGTGCCCAGTTCCTGGGTTGGTGCGCTGACCTTTGAACTCTGCAACCCCTTCAGCCCCCAAACCCAAAACTTTACCCACTGCTTTTGTTCTGCCTGGGGTGTCATGTGAGCCCAGGCCCAGAATTTGCAGCAAAACTGGTAAGGCTTTGTGAAGGCCACTCCATCCTCCTGGGTATCTGCGCTGCTTTGGCTCCTTTCCAAGAACCCACCCTCGCCAGACAAGTCCATCAGAGCTTCTTCCTTGGGCTCTGTGTCTGCCATGAGGAAGGAAGGTGGCCTTGAAGGAAACAGGCCAGAAACGTTTGGCAGGCAAGCATTCTGGCGCTAAGGAGGACAGGAGGGAAAGACTCTTACAGCCCCGCTCCCGAAAGTGTAATTCTGGTCTTCCCGTGGAGCTGATCTGGGGCTGAGCAGTGGCTTGTTTGGCCTTGAATTTTTGAACTGGATGCTGCTTCACCAGCTCTGGTCAATTCAGCTGATGTGGCTGTTTATGTTACAATCTTCACCTCTGAAGGAGGTGGGTAATTTGTGACTGTAATGGAGCCTGGAGATTATGGTCACAAGTTCTCTCTCTCTCTCTCTCTCTCTCTCTCTCTCTCTCTCTCTCTCTCTGTGTGTGTGTGTGTGTGTGTGTGTGTGAGAGAGAGAGAGAGAGAGAGAGCAAACTTTGAACCTGGACTATCAGTCTCTTGCAGGCACAACCCAAAAGCTTGGAAGAAGTCCCAGTGACTCACTCAGATTGGACCTTTCTGGTGGGAGGGGGGCTAACATCACTTTGAATAATCACTAGGTTGCTGTGCCCATTGCTCTGGCCTGTGTTTGAGTCCAAGTTGCAGGGGCCAAAGCCGCCTGCGCCCCCTTTGCCTTCAGCTGACCAGAGGGGCTCTCCCTGCACATTGAGGGGCCTGTTGCACGCTCTACCTTCCCACCTACATGGAAATCTGGCAGCAGAGGCCTCTGCTGTCCTTGAAGCGGCTCCTGCATAAGCCGGTTGGGATGTTTCAGTGGTCCAAGGCTGTGGGGGCCAGTGGGGGGGGGTGCACCCAGAGCAGGGCCATCCTTTAGCTGGCAGGAATCCACCTGTTTGGGCTGGACAAAGGCCCTCTGGGGCCCGCCTTCTCCTGCTGTGGATACCAGCAGGGTTGCCACGGGGCCTGTGGTCCAAGGGGCCCCAGGGAGCTGATGCCGCCTCGCTTTCATGCTCCCAGAGCTGCGACTTCTTCCATCGCAGCTGCTCCTCTTTGAAGGAGGCAGAGACGGGGGGCCGCACCTGGGGGCCGGTGGCCGCGGCATTGCCCTTAGCGGGGAGAGGGCCGGCCGGAGGGTCTGCCGAAGCGCCGTCTGTCCGGGACGCCGTCCGCACCGCTGAGCGCCCGCGGTCGGCCTGAGAGCGGAAGGCCGGGGAAGAGGCCTCCCCGCCCCCGACGGGAGGCGGAGGGTGGCGCGGTGGGGAGCGCTGCTCCCTTAGGCCGGCGGTCGAAGCCGAGGCGGGGTCTGCCGGGCCAGCTTCGCCCACTGGCCCTCGACGCGCTGCTTGTCTCCGTCGCCTGCCGCTGCTAGAGGAGCCTCCTCGCTCGCTCGCCCTGCCGCCGCGGTGCCCCCGATCCCCTCCATGGCTGGTAAGTCTCCCTCCCGGCGGGCCCCCTCGCCCAGCCGCCGCCCCTCCGGAGCTCCGCCGCACAGGCAGCGCCGGGTCGGGGCGGCGGGCTCCCGCTCTGCCCGGGCCGCCGCTCCTCTGGCTGCTCGCGGTGGTAGCCGAGCCCGCCAGCGCCTCCTTCCTCCTCCTCCTCCTCCTCCTCTTCTCCCGGCAGCGAGACGGGCGCTGATCGTGCTGGCGCACCAGGAACCGGGCTCCTTTAACCACGCCTTGCATCGGGCGGCCGTCGAGGCGCTGGAGAGCGGCGGCTGGAGCGTGGCCGTCTCGGACCTCTACGCGCAGCGCTTCGAGCCGGTCCTGTCGCGCGCGGACTTCGCCGGTACCGACCCCCGCCCCGGCCCGGCCCCCTGCCCGGCCTCTCTCCTTGGGCAGCGGCGCCTCCGCCGCCTCCTAACCTCCGCCCGTCCCCCGCAGGCGACCCCGACGACCCGCGCAACCTCAACTACGCGAAGGAGGCCGGGCTGGCCTGGAAGGAAGGCCGCCTTAGCAGCGACATCCTGGGCGAGGTGGAGAAGCTGGCAGCCGCCGACCTCGTCATCTTCCAGGTGGGCCCCCGCGCCGCCCGCCCAAGCCCCATCTGGGCCCGGCGGGGCTGACGCATCTCCCGGCTGACGCTCCGGCGCAGTCGCCGCCTTTGGGGTTAGGGGTTGGGGGGGGGGGGTCCGAGCCAGGCCAGGCAGAGCTCCGCGACGCCCTGATGGCGCCCGGCGCTGCTTGCCTTCCAGTTTCCGCTGCAGTGGTTCGGCCTCCCAGCCATTCTGAAAGGCTGGTTCGACCGGATCCTCATCCAGGGCTTTGCCTACTCCTACGGCGCTATGTACGACCAGGGGCCCTTCCAGGTAGGCGGCTGTGGGGGAGGGAAGTGCCGCCTGGGGCCGCTTGAAGGGAGCCGGGCCACCGGTCCCCACCCGAGACTGAAATGGGGGCCAACAGGCGGGCATCCGCCATGCAAACCCAACTGGCATCAGCTGCCGCCGCTTTCTGGCCACTCCAAAGGGCCCCTCATGCTGGCCCTGAGCCTCCGTGCTGTCTGTGGCTAGCAGGGTCATGGCAGAGCCCGCTCCCCCCTTGGCTGCACTTGGGCCAGTCGGGCAGCAGTGGTGGTGACAGGAGCCTGCCTGCCTGCTTTGCTTGCCTGCAGAAGAAGAAGGCCGTGCTGTCCTTCACCACTGGCGGGATGGGCTCCATGTACACCCCAGCGGGCATCAATGGAGACATTAACATCCTGCTCTGGCCAATACAGGTGAGAAAGGACGAGCAGAGGCCCCAGTGAGGATGGGGATGTTGCTTAGTGTCTGGTTGAAATGCCAGCCTCAGGAGCCTCTTGCACTTCCAAAGGCCAGAACCATGTAGGTGCAGGTGGTGAAATGCAGTCCAAAGTCCCAGGAGGGAGGGGCAAAGAGAATCTCTGGTATGCAGAAAGAGGGCGAAGGTGGCCACCCCAACCCCCAGCATTTCACAGAGTATTATCTATAGTAGTTATGCCGACAGTTGATTTCGTCTCTGGCAAGATTTCTGTTTATAGTCAAATAAACTATCCCCAAGTAACAGAACGGCCTTGCGCTGCCCTTGGCTCTGTGGATCTGGCAAGGTATTCAGGGTATGGGTGGCTCCTCCAAGGCAAAACGCCAAGGTGGTGCATTGGCTTGGCTCCAGGCAAGCTTTAAGGCCCTTTTGCTTCTCGCCCATGCAGAGTGGCACCCTTCATTTCTGCGGCTTCCAAGTCTTGGCTCCCCAGATTGCTTTCAGCATTGGCCAGCACACTCCGGAGGATGTCCGCTCCCAGATCCTGGAGGACTGGAAGAGGAGACTGGCAGCCATCTGGGAAGAGGAACCCCTCAGCTTTGCCCCAAGCAGCCTTTTTGAGTTGAATTTTGCTAAGGGGTTTGTGCTAAAGAAAGATGTCCGGGAAGAGCAGGAAAAGGAGAAATACGGGCTGGCTGTGGGCCAGCACCTGGGGAAGCCATTCCCGCCAGACAGCCAGGTCAAGGCCCCGGGAGAAGTAACTGTCCCACTGAGAAGCTCTGTAGGGTTGCAGGGGCCACAAGCCCACTTCTCCCCCTCCCCTAGAAATTAGCAGGTGCAGGGAACAGAGCCTTGCCCGAGTGCCCAGCTAAGACAATGTCCGATCCTTCAGGCAGGTTTTCTACCCAGCTCTATTCTTTCTCTTGGTGGTGTAATCTGGGGCTTCGGTTGCCTTGAAGGGCTGCCCACCGATGGGATCAAAGCCCGCTAGCATTGCTTCAGCAGTCGCGTTGCCTAAAACCTTTTCTCTTTGCATATTTAGGGTGCTAAACTCAGTGCTTGCTTTTTAAATCCCAAGTCCAGCTACTGAATCTAACCTGTCTGGTGCTAGGTAGGAACTGATCGCGGTCCCTCCTTTTCTGTCTGTGAATGTTCTCAGTGAAATAAATAAAAGCCATGAATGTGCACATTGCGCCAATGTTCTGTGGTGAATTTGCCAGACTGTGTGAAAGAATATTATGCACTCCACAATAGCTACAGGTAGTCCTCAACTTACAACAGTTCATTTAGTGGCTGTTCAAAGCTACAATGGCACTGAAAAAAGTGAGTTATGGCCACCGTTTTTCACACTTGCGACCATGCAGCATCCCCAGAGTCATGTGATCAAAATTCAGATGTTTGGCAAGTGGCTCATATTTATGACCGTTGCAGTGTCCAGGGATCACATGATCCCCTTTCCCAACTTTCTGACAAGCAAAGTCAATGGGGAGTCTGGATCCACTTAACCACCATGTTACTAACTCAGCAAGTGCAACGATTCACAATTATTGTGGCAAGAAAAGTTGTGAAATGGGGCAAACTCAATTAACAAACGTTTCACTTAGCAACATACATTTTGGGCTCAATTGTAACTCGAGGACTAGCTGCACTGCCGTTTTCCAAATAAGCAGCTTATGTCGAGGCAAATCGAGGCAACCTGATTCTCTTTCGCTCATTCTGTGAGGTCTGTAGTTGTAGGTTGCTTTAGAAGTGGCCACCGGCCTTGCAGAAGAGACACGCTCAACCCAAGAAGCAGAGAAAAGTCCCTTTAGTTGGTGTGAGCCACATCCGGTTGCTTGACTCAAGTTTCAGAATGCAGAATTTATAGAGGACACCAATGCAGAGGTGAGATTAGCACTTTGTATGGCTATTGTGATCACAACTAAAACCTCGGTGCCCAAACTGTAGCTTAGGGCATTCCCATTTCTATGTCAACATATTATGGGTTATCACGAGCATTTTTCAGTCTGCATTCCATAAAACAACAAAAAGTTCCATCTCTGTTGGCAGCTGCCATATTGAAAGGCAAACGCAGGCCAACTTCAGAAGATCATCAGGCCTAGCGACTTTAAAGGTCTCCTTCCCCCACCCCCCTTTGCCAAGACAGAAATCTGCATTTCTCCCAATGCTGTTCCCAGACAACCTCAAAATTTGTTGGGAATCCCAAGTGTGCAGCCCAAAGTGGAGAAACCGAGTGCAACAGAAAAAAAACAGGCTCTGGAATGGGTAGGATGTTTGTGCATTGAGCCGCCTCCTGCCGTCTTGGTGTTCTTCAGCTTCTGAGCCCGAGAGGAAGGCACTTCGTAAAACTCAGAGAATTCATGCTATTAAGTGGAAGATGTTGGAAAGAACAACACAACAGATATACACCGTGAAATGAAAACTTTCAAAGTTTTATTCTGGACTGCAGCTGTGTACAGAAATATAGTTGCAAGTATACAAATGTCCCAATAGAAGCAAAATATCTCTTTAATATCCAACAAGTTATCACAGAAGAGCTAAAAAAACAAATGCAAATGAAGTACCCCACCCCACCCCGCCTTCAACAGAATAAATTGAAAATTGGTTATCAGTGCTCTGAGAAACCCACCGACACAAGCCAGAGATACACAAATGCACAATGGGCCAAATCAGGCTACATTCACATGGCAGGATCCAGTAGGGGCTGCTCAACGGCTGCTTGATCTCTGTCCCGCCCAAAGCAAAGCAGGAACGCAGGAAAGAAGAGGAAAGAAAGGAAGGAGGGGCCCGCCGGCAGAAGGCAAGGCCTGGAGCCTCCCTGTTTCCCAGGATCCTCGCAGGTTCCCTTGCAAGGAGACCAACACCTAGGAATTAGGGGCAGAGAGATGTAGGGAGACCACCTCCAGCATTCCCAAAGCTTCTGGCTGCAAAGAAAGAGACTCCATTCTCGTGGAGCAGGCCTGGCCCTCAAGTCGAGAGAGCCGATTCTGAGCAGCCTGCACATCTATGGCAGAGGGGAAGGAAGGGCCAGCCTGGCTATTGCTTCAGGGCATGCAGGAGTCCAGCTGAAAAGAACCTGGTGCTTTGGGAAACGGGCTGCTTGCAATAGCTAAATCGGAAGCTGCTTGCAATGACTGGGGGCCACGCCCATCTGGGAGGGGCTATTGGGGTTTTTTCTGACTGAGAAACAAGATGTTTTCCTGTGTGTGCGTGCACGTGCGCGTGTGCACGCACACGAGTGTGTTTGAGTCAGTCTTGACTCCTGGCAACTACCTGGACAAGTCCCTGCAGTTTTCTTAGCAAGATTTCCTTGGTGGTTTGTCTCTGCCTTCGCCTGAGGCCTGGGGGGGAGTGACCAGCCCCAAGCCATCCATCCAGCTGGCTTCTGACTAGGGTGGAACTGGCACTCACAGTCTCCAGGTTTCTAGCCTGAAATCTTAATCACTACGGCAAATGGCTTCCTACTTAGATATGATCATGTCTAATGTGAATTGTGTGCTATTTTAAGGTAATAACATAATCAAGTTATGGAATGAAATTAAGGAAGATTTATTAAGAAAAGCAAAGTTGCAACTCACACAGCTTGGAAGAATTTCTGTGAGAACAACAAATACATTAACTAGAATAGTGTTTTTATTTCAAACAATTCTAGTTTCAAAAAATGCTTCTGGTTAAACAGCAACAAATAATTGTATCTCGATTTGTGTGGTATGGCAAGAAATCATGGGTTAAATTCAAAATTATGCAGGATGCAAACCTGAAAACTGAAACCTCATGAAATTTTTGCTGAAAAAAGAAATGAAACTACGGCTTATGGGTTTGAAGATTAAGCCAGGCTTGGACTAAATAAGCGACTGAGGGATTATACATTTCATTATATATATCTAAGGAGGGATTATTAAATCAACTGTCTGTTGAAAATTAATTTCTTTTCTTTTTTCCATTTCTTGTACTTTCTTTTTTCTTTCAATTTGCCTTTTATTCTATAGGTAACCCTCAACTTATGACCACAACTGAGACCAGAGTTTCCATTGCTAAGAATGGCAATTGCTAAGGGAAAGACACCCTGGTTGCCAGGCCAACCGCCCAGTCCTTAACTGAATCGGTCTTTCCCCACCGGCTCTGCTTGTCAGAAGATGGCTGGGAGGGTCTCAAACGGCTGTCCCTTGACCCCGGGACACTGCAACTGGCAGCTGTCTACAAGGGCTGGGGTTTTGATCACCTGACCATGGGGAGACGGTGACAGTGAAGTGGGAGGATCAGTGGAAGCCCCTTTTTTCAGTACCCTTGTAACTTTGGTCACAAAAGGAAAGGATGTAAGTCAAGGACTACCTGTATGGGGAAATTCTTTCTATAAACTTCAATAAAGGGGATGTACTGTATTTTAAAAGACCACACTTTCTTTGGAACTTCAATCTTCTTCCTGGGGCTTGTAACCCTAAAGCCTTACTTAATTCTACCAATGAATCCCGCGATCCCTGCTTTAGCTAGGGAGTTGGACATCAAAGGCAGGGACCATCTCCTTCCTCCCCGTTGGCCTTCTCGTTCTTCAGTGTCCCTCACATTCCTGGTGCCAGTGCCCTGAAAATAGCGAGGTGGGAAATGCAGCCCTTGGGCAGGAAGGCCGCCAGGTGAAGGGCCTGCCAAGGGAAGCTCTGCTCACTCCGTTCCCTTTGCCCACAGAAAGCAGGAGCAAAGATGAAGGACCAGCCTCTGCCAGCTATTGAGCAGCCCCTTTGCTCCAAAAAGACACACTTGATAACCAAATCACATCTTCAAAATGTTGCACATTTAAATATTGACCTAAACTGGACCAAGGAAAAGTAAAAACCGACCAAGAAAGTATCCATTTCACCATTTTGCACAAGCAGCAGGCGCTGAAGTTACAAGAAGTGGAAGGAGGATCAGCAGCTCCCTGGGCAGAACCTCGGTTCAGTGAAGGATTGGTCCCGGGTGTCTCAGCGTCATTGGCCCCAAGCAGCTCACCAGACTGCCCCCCCCCCCCCCCCCCCGGCACCCTTCCGACAGGACAAGGAGCTGACCTCAGACTGTGACCCCCCGCCACCCCAAAAAAGCAAACTGGCTTGGGGGCTTTTGGACTCGCCTTACCACCTCCCCATAATTCCCTCAGCATGTGTGCATCTCTTTCTCAGCATCAGAATTGGGTTCAAGGAATTGATGGGATTTACAAAAGAGGGAAAGCAGAAGGTATTAGTGTTATAAATTAAAAAGCCCGCAAAAATGTTAGACATTAACATAGAATAAAAGCGGAATCAAATCCCAGCTTTTAAGAAGTCACCCTGAGGGACTCCCCTGCGAAGCCCCCCCGCAGCAGGAGCTCCGTCCCTCAGGCACGAAGCTGCCTTTGTGGCCAGCCAGCACGGATGGAAGGGCCCGAGACCAAGAAGAAACAAACGCCTGCCACAAAAAGTACAGAAATACTCCATGAAGATTTAACAAACCCATCCCCTTTCCCCCAGAACCGGACACCAGGTGGTGGGGGAAGAGACTATAAACTCACACACATGCCACAAAAATCTGTGGCAAGAAGAACATAGTTGTGTGAACATGTGTGTTTTTATATATATATATATATATATATAGGCGCCAATGTACTCATCTAGTACAAATAGCGAAGTAGTTTATCATTTACTAAGTACAAAATAGAGCTTTCCAAAAAATGAAACACACATTAGATATAAACCATTCAAAACTTGAACGACTGAAAACTGTATTCAAAATTAAAGGACCTTGAGTCAGGTCTCTTTCTGAAAAGTTCCCTTCATACTCCTGAAAACGTCGTAACCCCAAACTCCTTGGGACAGAACACACGGACCACTAACTGAAGAAGAGACGGACTGGCACAGCATGAGTAAGAAGCCCCCCCCTCCCCCCCGGGGCGCACGAGGGAGACAAGTGACACGCTTCCCAACACAGAAGACAAGCAGCCGAGACGTCCCCCCAGCAGCCCTGGAGCTCCGCAAGAGCTGCCCAGGGACCCTCCGGAGTGGCAGGCGCTGCCCACAGGGGTGGATGCGCAAGAGACCCGGAGGCGGCTGCAGGAGGTGAACCCCAGGAGAGTCTGCTAGGACCGCGCTGGCCTTCTATCCAACGCCTGTGGCAGGAGCAAAGCTGCTCCCGGGCCTTGGGAGTTCAAAGGGGAGCTTAGAGAAGGCCCCATGTCCCCAGCAATAGCAACGGTGTCAAAAGCAACCTAAACTCTACTCTTCCTTCCCTAAATCTTGCTGTGCATTCATCACCAAACATTTTTTTCTGGTTTTCTGGTCCTCCGAAATATTAATTCTGTACATGGCAGAATATTTAAATAGGAGGGTGGGAAACTCCAGTGAGAAGCTTTAAGAAGAGTCAGCCACCGTCTGATCACAGCAGACTCCCCAAAGAGCCCGGTTCCTTAGAGCAGCAACTGGTTCTTCTGAGAAGGGGGAAGAGCGGAGCACTTGCGCCCAGCTCTCAGCAAGCCACAGCCCTGATCCGAGGCTGTCCTCTCTACAAGGCCCCCCTGGTGCCCCTCAAGCCTCTCCCACCACTCGGATGGGACACCAGCTGCTGCTTCCGAGCCCAATCCAGGTATGCTCATTCATCACCCGACACGTGCAGCATCAAGTCATGATCCTGGGTGGGATTCACAGCGTACACAGAAGACTTCTGCCAGACAGCTCAAGCCACTTTTTCCAATGGAAACCATTCTCATACTTAGCCACAAATCATGGGAAGCCATCAAATGATTGAGGACACAGGAAATGCGCCCGAAGAATCGTAAAAACCAGAAAACGAACGGGAGAGGGAGAGAGCGAGCCCAACGTTCTTGCCTTTTGCTGACAGGTGACAGCCACACTCCGCATCCCCCACAGAACTGGGGATGGGGATAACAGTCCAGCCCACGCCTGGCTAACCCAAAACCTGGCTTTGCCCCCCACTTCAGCAGAACTTCCAGAGTGGGTTGCTTTAGGCCATCTTTCAACAGAGAAGAGTTAACTCCAGAATCACCAGAGCTAATGCAGTCTGTCCAGTGCACGATTTCTGAATGAAAGGAAGAAAACAAAAAGACATTTATAAGTAACACAAAGACTCACCCTCCCTCCCTCCCTCCCGTTCAGCAGCCTTCAGCAACAGGGTCTTCTCCTTGGAAGGATGTTCAGTGAAAGGCTGTCATCAGATTAAAAGTGGGTACAAGCCTCTCCAGGGCTCCTGTGGAAGCCCCTACGATGGCAGTCCCTCCATTCTCCTCTAGGCTGACCGGCTTTCACAGGCTCCTGTCTGGAAGTCCACGAGGAGGTAAACGGGACTAACCACCAGCAGCCTCCCCAGAGCTGCTTCTATCTGCTCTGGCTCTGGTGCCAGCTGGGCAGATCCTGCTACCCCCCTGTGATGAGGGAGATAGTAGCCGGTGATTCAATCTGGGATTCTTGGGAGACTGCAGAGCAAAGCTGTGAGATCGGCTTGCTACCTATAGATTAGAGTCGTGATCCTCCTGGCTAAGCAGTCTAGATTTATTGATTTATTGGTAAAATTTGTTAGTCGCCCATCTTAGCACAAGGCAACTCTGGGCAGCTTACAATAGGAACAGATAAAACTATATAAAACTTAATGATATAAAAACAATACTATAAAAATAATAACCCAGCTGTAAGGTGGAGAGGTATGAGGAAGAGGTGGGAGCTCTTGCTTCATCTATTCACCACCCCCAACATTGAAGACCCCCTTCGGAACCCCATGCCAAAAGTCAGGAGGGCTGGTGCCAAGCTCATCTTGGCGGGCAAGGCATTCCAAAGGGCCGGCTCTTCTCCTGGAGCCCAGTAGCCAGAATACCTGGCCGATGGGCCCAGCCCACTGGGATGAGACGGCCCTTCCAGTAGCCTACATTCAAGCAGCAATCACGGCTTCTCTGTGCCCCTCCTGCAGAAGCATTTTGGGGGAAAGGCTGCAAGGGCTGCAAAGGACCGGGGGTGGGGGGAGGAACTGAATCAACGACCAAAGAGGACGCAGTTTATCGGGATCCCTTTCGCCCTGGACTGGAGCCTAATTCAAAGGTGGAGTAGGCATTGGCAGCTCCCCCCCCACCCCACCCCTCCCATTCAAGAATGAGGCCTGTGCTCAAACAGCTTGCAGGATGAAGGCTAATCCCACCTCCTGTCCAGGCAAACAATGGTTGCACAGAGAATGCCACAAGCTCTCCAATTTCATTAACCGAAGGACAAACTTCTGCGGCTCAAGAAAAGGTCCTGGCTTACCTCACCTGTTAGAAGGAGCCAGCCATGGAATTGTTCCCCTGATTTTGTAGGGATACAAGCAAGTCATCAATCTTCTTTATATTCTGATCGGTGGTCATTGCAGAAGAAATCTGAGGACTCTCTGACATTTGCTGGGACAGGAGAGCCGTGACGGACGGCGGTGCCTCATTCTGTGCTTGGCTGAGGGTCATCATCTGCTCTGATACGGAACCTGGTCCAGATGTTAACAGCTGCCCGCAACCTGCTGAAGAAACAACACATCCAGATCAAGACCGATGGCCAACATGGCCTTCCAAGCATCACCCAGAGCCAAGGGCAAACTTGCTGAGCAGGGAGAACTAAGCAGAATCATGAATTTGAATGCCGGTTTCAACCCAAGTAGTTACAACGCCCATAAAACCCCACAGCAGTTTGATCTGACTTTGTTGTCATAGCTGAGGTAGGGGAAACGGAAGACCAACGTTTAGAGCAGACCAGCGAGGACCGTCTAGTGCTCTCTACGCGCAGACTTACTGTCTTGGATGCCAAAGAGGAATATCCCAGAGGTTTGTGGGGATGAAGTGGAGGAGTTCTGCAGCCGGTTGATGGGGCTTCCAGCAGGAGGTCCACTGTGGAACAGAGAGGCTGCCGCCTGCTGCTGCTGCTGCTGCTGCTGCTGCTGCTGCTGGGGGGGCGGCGGAGAGTCCTGGATATTGGGCAGGTTGCCCTGTGGGGAGTACAGGGGGGGTTGCTGCAACTCCTGCTGGCTCATGTTGCTCTGCAAGGCAGACATGGAGGCCGATGATATGAAGAGGGTGACTGGCTGCTCCTGGGGGCTGGGGGATCCCTGGACCAGCTGGATCTGGGGGGAGCCACGGAATAAACTTGGCGGTGGCTGTGGTGGCTCAGCTTGGGTGGAGCCCGAGCTCTGGCTCTGGAACTGCATGGGCTGCTGCTCTTGGCTCCTCGGGGCCAGGCTACTCGGGGGGTGGAAGAGAGGCTGGCTCTGCTGGGGCTCCTGGCTGGTCATCGTGCTGGGATTGGAGCTGAAGAGCAGCGTTGGCTTCTGGGAGGCCACAGACCCCAAGGCGTTCTGACTGCTGAACTGCATATTTTGCTGCTGCTGCTGCTGCTGCTGCTGCTGCTGCTGTTCGTGGGTGGAGGCACTACTTTGAAGAGCCACAAGTGAATGCTGAGCTTGGAACATGCCCCCCTGTTGGTTGGGAGGCAGCCCAGAGGCAGGGAGGGGGCCCAGGGTTACTTGGGCCTGGAAGAGGCCCTGGTGTGTCGCCTGGTGCTGCTCCTGGGGGAGCAGAGGGCCTTGGAGGTGGGGCTGCTGGAAGGAGGGTTGCTGCTCAGTCCTGGCCGGGCCTTGCAAGGGAGAAAGAGAGCTCTGGGTAGCGAAGAAGGGCATCTGCTCCTCCTGCACAACAGAGGAGCCCAAAGCATTCTGGGAGAGGAACAGGCTGCCTGCCTGCTGGTCCGGAACAACTCCGAGGCTGCCCTGGGAGTGAAACAGGGGCTGCTGCTGCTGCTGCTGCTGCTGCTGCTGCTGCAGCTGCTCCGAAGCAGCGGCTGAACTCTGGCTGTGGAACAGAGAACTGGGGGCCTCCTGAGAGATGCTCTGGGTGTCCCCAAGGGGGCTCTGAGAGTGGAACAGCTGAGGCTGGGAGTGGGCAGCCGGGGGCAAGAAAGGGCCCGCCTGGAGAGAGAGCATCTCCCCACTCTGCTGGAAGAGTCCCTGCTGCTGGGCTGCGGTGCCTTGGACGGCAGCCATCATGTCCTCCGAGGAAGGGAAGAGAGCAACCTGGGCCTGGCTGTCCCCACTGCGCTGCATCTGGACCATCGCCCGAAAGACAGGGCTCTGCATCTGCTTGGCTTGCCCTGAAGCTTCTTTGCTGTCCACGGAGCCCGAAGCCGGGAACAGGGCAGGGCCGCTGGTGGGCACCTGCTGCTCCTGCGGCGGCGGCTGCGGCTGCCCTGTGGCACCCGTATCGTTGCTTGAGACACTGCTGGGAGAGAACAGCTCACACTGCATTTGCATGTCTTCACTTGCCGACAGCCCACCCATCAAATGGGAAGTTGGCGGGTACACGGGGGACTGCTGGATGCTTCCATTCCCTGAGGAGGAGGAGGAGGAGGAGGAAGAGGAGGAGGAGGAGGCGAACAAGTCGGAGGGCATGTGGCTGGGGGCCTGGCAAAGGCCTTGCTGCATGTCCATCACCATCGCAGCAGACGTCTCCATCGCTTGTGCCTGCTGCTGTCCCGCCATCGAAGTCTCCGGCTGTGGGCACAGGGCCTCGGTTCGGCCGGGGAGAAGGTCTTCTGCCCTTGAGCGAAGGGAGTCCGATGAAGAAAACATGCCCTGGTTGACTCCATTCTGGATCTGGCTCACCTGCTGGAAAAGGTCCACACTGAGCTGCTCTTGGACCTCCTCACTCCCCTCGGAGCCCGAAAAGAGGACAGAGGACAGCTGCTGCTGAGCTTCCAGGACTTGCTGAACCAGGTCCATGTTTCTGCTGCCGCTGCCACCGGGGCTGGACTGAAAACTCCCCGCCTGCAGCTGCTGGATTGTGCTCTGAAGCTGGCTCACCCCGCCGGCCGAGGAGAACATGCTTGAGGAGATCTGCTGCTGCAGGGCCTGGCTGGACTCCTGGAGGCAAGGGGGCTGCTGCGGGGCGTCCGCTAGCTGGGACAAAGCCATGGCTGTGTTGTCTGACTGCAAAGCCTCTCTGGAGGAAGGCTCCCTCAAGGAGAACTGGGAGGCCTGCTGCAGGAGGGTGTCGCTGTTCTGGAGCTGGCTGGGAGCAGAGGCGGCTGGGAAGCTGCCAGGCTGCACCAGGTCTGGAACCTGAAGGGAAGGCCTGGTCTCAGGAGGATACGTGGGTGGCAGGGGCTGCTTTTCACTCTCTGGAGCTAAATGAGAAGCAGGAGGGGAGAAAGTGCCATTCCCCAAGATGCTGGATACGGTGGTCTCCAGAGTGGTTTGAGATGGCCCAATGGCGCTGGCTGTCTGAAGAGAAACAGGCACACACAGAGCAGTAAGATTTGGGATTTTCACTTTTCTCTGCCTGACCATAATTCAGGAAGAAAAATAAACTCTCTTGAATTCTACATTATATGCTGTCCACTGAAAATTTCACCAATTTTTAGAAATTCATTCCTTACACCATTAATTTGCATTGTTATGAAGAAGGAGGGTATGTATTATGGATTATAATAATGTATTAAAACCACAGTCAGAAGACATAAAGCTCCCACCCCACCCACCCCCAGCCGGTGATTTTGCTAGGATGCCAACCGTTCTTCTAGTAGGCAAAACTGTGTAATAGTTTTTTCTGAGTTCTTCTATGCACTTCAGTTTTAAAAGGATGGTATATTATTTACAAGCAAGGGAAAAAACCATTTTCATTTCAGTTAAACTCCTTCAATCTATTGGAAAAAGTGAAAGAAACATTTGTAGTCCTACCAAAGCTGTCACATTAGATGTCAAACAAATGTCCTGAATAAAATCCTGATAATTTTCTTCTTCTCTTTAAAAGACATGTGCCCAGAATCAGTTTTGAACTGCTGCTTACATTGAAGGCAGGAAGAGACCTCTTCTCGGCCACAAGTTCCATTGGCGCAGCCTCTTCATTCTTAACGATACTGGTTGGCCTGAGAGGAGGTACCAAGGCACTGGGGAGAAGATTGACTTGGTCCAGCTTGCAGCCACTGGAGTTCGCTGCAGGAGACAAAGAGCAGAATTCACTCCCTGCATCAGCCCCAGGAGGATGACACTCAAAATTACAGCTTCTAATAGAGAGAAGAGAACCCGATAACCTTTCCTGGCAAGTCCTGGCTGTGCACTCTGCAGTAAGAGACACCTCTGAGGGCCAAGGTCGACCCAAATGGCTGCTACACAAACACCCAGGGCATCCTGAGGACTGACACAGCACAAACACCTTAGCCTGCTTGATAAACCACATCATCTCTGGCCTACTAAAGCTTGCTTGTTTATTACATTTATATCTCACCGCAGTGAAAATCATTCTCAGAGTTAAGCATATTAGAGGTTTGCAAGACTTTGTAGTGAATTTTTAGAAGTTTGCCGGGAAACAGACCAAAGGAGAAATAATACATTAACAGAAAAACATCTGTAGCCCTAAAATCCCCAAATAAGCCACTCAATTGTGATGGCCATTTTTCAATGTGACGTCCTCGGCAGTTTTACGAAGTCTTTGGCTCAGGTGATAAGAAAGGCTGCGGTTGAGAATTACCTTTGGCTGCGTCAACAAAAGAGCAGGGCTGGGTTGGGCTGGATATTTCCTGCTTCACATTCACATTCAGAGTCTGAGCTGCTGATGAAGAAACAAAACGGTCAGGAGAGATGTAAGCAAGGAAATTGGGTCAAGCTTCCCACTTTCTCGGATCAGCAATAAGCACAAGTTACACATTTCAAGAACCAAAGGCCAATGATTGAAACGTTCAGCATAGCTCCCTGAAATCTGTGGTAGTTACACTAAGTTCCTTTCTCAAACTGCAAGAGCTGCCTAGGATTTCCTAAGGCCAATGATTTGTGTTCCCTAAGAAGTTCCCTAGCCAAGCAATGCAAACTTCAACCAAGACCCCACCCCTTGCAAATATTGTGCTTTTTACATACGTGTATCCGGAGTGTATGTAAATTGTTGTATGTCATGTGATCTCCCAGCATTGGTCATGACAAAAATCCCAACAGAAACAGGTGTAGTTATTTGCTGGTCATGATAAGGTGGCACCTTCACAATTAGATGATTCTGAAAGTAAAAAAAAAAGTATCAATGGCCTCCAGTCTGTGATATTTGACGTAAGAAAATCTAGAGGTGGATCAATAAGGGCCAGCTGTTCCTGTTCCTAGCTCTGCTTCATTTCAGAAATCTGGCTTACAAACAAAAACTTGCTAGAATTTTTCAAAGGGGGGAAACAGGGGGAAAGGTGGAGGACTGAAACAAACTCTGCTACCTCTACTGAGCTCTTAAAGGCAACTAAGTGCATTGGCACTTAATCACACAAACTCTGAACATGAAGAACTCTGACTTTCCAAGCTGAGCAAAACTTCCACCAAAGAGTCCCAATCCTAACAACCATGCAGGAGGAGGAATGGTGGCTCCCTATCCAAGACCTGCCCTGTTCTTTGGACTCAGTTTGCGAACAGCTATTTCTGTGAGGACATCAGAGCCCAATCCCTCTCTTCCACCAAAGAAGAGGATTTCATTTAGGTATGACTTGAGGTTCAGACGTATAGCTTTACAGTTGTGTTGTTCCCTAGAGGAGCAGTCGCCAACCGGTGGGCCGCGGAAAAATTTTGGTGGGCCGCAGAAGAAATGGCCCCCGAAAGCAATTAATCTGGGCCGCGCAGTTCTCTCGCCCCCCGAGTCAGGTCCCTGAGGTGCATGCGCCAACCAGCTCCCACACACGGTGGTGGCAACAACAGTCCCCATCCCCAGCGCCCACTCTTAGCTCTCCCCATTAGTTCTCTAGCTTTGAATGGCTCCCACCTCTCCCCCCCCCCGCCCATGCGCAGGCAGGAAAGGGTGACGGAGCCGTGCGCAGCTCTCCGCTCTCCCAGCCCTCGCTGCCTCTCCCTACATCGAAGCCTCAGAGATGCAGGCAAAGCTGCCGCAGCAGTAGCATCCTGAGTTGCCTTCGCATGCTCGGTTAGTTAAGAATTGCCCTACCCAGAGAAGGAGGTGCTGGAGGAGGAGGCAGTAGTGGAGAAGCAAGCAACTCAGGGCGCGACCGCTGTGGCAGCTTTGCCTGCGTCTCCGAGGCTTCGATGTTATATTTTTATTTTTATATTAAATATATTAGCTTTTTTTTTTAATGTATTAATGGTCCTCGGGATTTAAAAGTATGAATTTGTTGGGCCCTGGGATCCAAAAGGTTGGCGACCCCTGCTCTAGAGTAGCCTCGAGGAGCTGCGGTGGTACAGTAAAAATGCAGTACTGCAGACCGACTCTGCCCATTGCCAATAGTTCGATTTGACTGGCACAAGGTTGCATCCTTCCGAGGTCAGTAAATGAGGACCCAGATTGTTGGGGGCAAGAGGCTGACTCTGTCAACCGCTTTAGAGAAGGCTGTAAAGCACTGTGAAGTGGTATTCAAGTTGAATAGTTATTGCTAGAGAAATCGCTGGCCTTCCTGAAGCAGAAAACAAGGGGTACAAAATACTTTTACATTTGGATCTTAGATCTGAATGCAGATTTACTGCAAGATTTGTTTAAAGATAACAACTGACCACTCTACGTGAAATTACCATTTTGAAACTGATACCTTATCACAGCTGAACTAGGACTCCCAAATGGCCAAATTCAAAAAAGTTGGAACGGCTTCCGCACAAAAAGAGAATTTACAGAAGAAATGAAATGCACAGCAATTTGGCAATTTAAGGAAAGACTGGGAGAGAGAAAAATAAGCAAAGGGCTGCAGTGGAAAACAGCTCCCCCATAAGCAACTTACAAAAATAGCACTCCTGTCTGATACGCTACTTTTTCCTCCAACTCTGTTTGCCTTAAAGACCTGATCTCAGATTATTGCTCTCACCATAGTCTTAATTTACATTCAGCCGTGAAGCTTCCACAGATTTCAGAAAATGTATCCGAAAACTCACGTGCACACCTATCTGAACCTCCACTTTCAAAACGTATCATAAAACGGGATCATTTGAATAGTAATGCCTACAATAATATTCTCAAGATCAAATGGATAATTACATCCCCGAGGAAGCAAGTACCTGATGAAACAGCTCCATGTCAATTTCTGCCTCGGCTTTCCAGGAGCTTTCGTCTGTTTGAAAGCAAGGTAGGGAAGTTGTTATCCAGAGGCACCAGTCAGCTGTCGAGGAAGTCACGGCTCTCAAGGTGGCCGTCCCAGTCCCCCCGCAGCTTCATTTGCCCAACCTCGGCAAATACACCTTGCTACCCACCAGAGATGTTCTCTTGGAAGATCACTTTGGTTCCCTTCAGAAAATTCTTCCCAATCAAAAAGACCTCCTCTTCTCCTTTCACTGAACAGCTATGCAGGCTTTTCTTGAGGATCTCCGGCACACCTGCAGGTTGAGCTACGCCAAGAAAAAAAGGCGATTTAACTGAAAATATCCACACACAATCAGCTATAACCCCAAGGCATCTAACGGCCTATATGTGGAAAGGACAAACGCTATGAAAAGCTTAAGCAAGTCCGATTCAAAAAGTAAGACTCTTTTTCCTTTTGCAGGGGAAAGTACAGCAGCTTCCTCCCCTGGGAACTCATGGCCAGCCATCGCCATTCTGGGAAGGGCACACACTTATGAGCTGAGGTCCTAATGTAATATCCAAATTCTTTCTGTCCATGTCACTAAAATAGATTATTTTATGCAGATTCTCCTAAGTTCTTGTTTCTGTAAATATTAAAAATAGTTTATGGTTCTGTTTTAGTAAAGGTTAATCCTCTGCAGGTAAGCAGGATAGCTCAACTAATAGGGGGGCTTTGGGTCGTTAGGGGCTTTGCCACTTACTGCACAGAATGGGCGAGGACGGAGTCTGCAGCGTTAGAACAGATCCATCTTTCCGAGGGATGCTGACACGGAAAACCAGTCTGGCTCGGGTGCTTTTTTTCTTAGAACCAGCAATGCCTATTCGGGCTTCGACGTCTGCATTCCTCAATTTCAGAATTCCAACACAGTCCACCCTAGCAACATAGGATTAATTTTTGCATTATTTTAGGCCTGCCAGTGCATAGGAAGTGGCAAGCTTTTTAAGAGATGCAGTGACAACAGAAGCAACCACCAAATCATCACATTTCAATGCCCTGTAGCTGTGGTGGTGAGAGCGCTGAGCTGTCCAGAGGATCAAGCATTCAACTTCACTTTGGAAAACAGGATACTCGGTTACAGGGACCTTCACTAGATATTGTTGGACAATTCCTTTTCCAACCAATAAAAGGTGACAATAGAACAGATGCTTTAGGAAGGCGATCCCCAACCTTCTGGGCAGCAGGGACCAGTCCCATGTAGAACGTTTTTTTTATGTGGACCGGAAGGGGTGTGGTTTTGCACGCTGCCTGCATCTCACAGATGCTCCACCTCAGTAAGTTTTTAAGAAGAGATTGGACAAGGACTGATTTGAAATGGTATAGGGTTTCCTGCTTGAGCAGGGGGTTGGACTAGAAGACCTCCAAGGTCCCTTCCCGCTCTCTTATTCTGTATTCTGTTTCCATCCAGAATCTAAGAGCCTCCCTCCCACCTTTTCAAGCAACACTTAATCCTCTGTCTGCAGATCTATTTAAACATAGAAATAGACCATATTCCAAAACAAAGAAACAGAAATGGCACCCCTGATTCACTTCAGGGTGCAGATCTGATTTTACTGGGGGGAATTATGTCAACTGGCTGAAGGTTCATCAATGGGCCAACCAATCACCATTATGAAACTATTTGCTTCTCCCTCTTGTGAGAATGAACAATTTATACCTACTGTAAATACACTGCAGCATTGGAAAACAGGCTTTCCTCAAACAAGTGTTACATTCCCCAAATGAAGGAGAATTTAGGACCCAGTTAAATCCATCATTCCAGGGAAAACAAAGCATTTATTTCACTCAGTGTAAGATGTCAAACGGGACCAACTTACAAAGAGAGACTTGTAGTATTCCAGGTGACAGACACCATGCATGGGAGTGTGGAGCTCACTGAGGGGCTTCCAAAGAGTGGCTTTTCTCAGAGCCAGCACTAAGCCTGCCTCTCCCTTTCCCTGTTGTGTTCAGAGAGGCCCTGAGTGAAAGGCTTGTGTGGAAAAACCAGAGACACACTCTCCTGTGAAGTTCAAGCAGTTTCAGAAGAGATCATGGGAAGGCATTTTTTGTCAAGAGCACAAAATATAATACAAACAGATTACCCAAAGTGTGTGTGTGTGTGTCTCTGTGTGTGTATGTGTGTGTAATAATCAGAAGAGTTGTTCACTTTTGCTGATAAAGAAGTGGAAAGCTGTCAGTCATAACCGGAACACCAAGGAAGCTGCTACAGGTCGATGACCAGAGACCATAAGCTTTCCTTCCGGTTCACATCACAGCCTGAGAGGGGAGAGAAAGCCTCCCAAAGAACCTCCGTACTTCCCTTTACTACAAATAAATGTAGTTTTAGCCAAAAATGGGTCTAACGCCACCCAGAGGCCTACTGTTTGTGTTGGAGGGGGTGGGGGGTGGCTTGTAAACCTTATTAGTAAATAAATAAGAATCCCAATGTCAGATTTCCTCTCGTGAAGACATTCTTAGCCCTGAAAGTGTTCCCCGAGACGAGCGGGGCAGGATGGAAATCTACCGAGAGGAACACTCACGCCAGGGTCATGCTGTTACTTGGGTCCAGGCTCACTTCGATGACAGTTGTGCCCTCGATGTCCACCTCTTTGCAGGGCGTGGTGTTCCGGCCTGTGACCCTGCAGGCTTGATAGAATCCATGGGGCTTCACCCGGCCAGAGTCATTACCCACAAATATCTGTAAGGTCACTGGATCGTTGTGACCTTCCACCTGGAATCACAAACCAAGAGTTAATAATGGACCGCATGAAGCACCATTCATCTGCCAGCAACGCACACGCCAACTTTGAATAGCGAACACTGACTGGTACTAACAGTCTTCCTCTACTGAGTAAAACGGATGAATTCTTTGGATTTTAAACATTTTGATATTTTTAGGTATATTCTATCAATCCCTCAAGTTGATTTTATTGTATTCATATTTTGAGCATATATATATATATATAT